GTTGACCGAAAAATCTACTTCCTAGTTCTAAATATAAGATCCTTTTAATTAATTCACAAATTTTACAAAAACAAGTAGATCATAATTATTGATTTTTTTGGTAATAATTAATACGCAGAGAGTTAATTTGACTTCAAAAATTTGTTTAAGGATCGGTGCGGTCTATCTTCAGTGGGCACAACTCTATTTCAGCTATGTATAACCTCTATATAATTATATGCAAAACAGAAAACATTTTTGCATATCTAAGGTTATATTGCACATAATTGAAGACGAGTTCTACTCCCTTTAAGTCCTAAGTTCTTAGATATCTTTGGGCAATAATTTTTGTTCGGAGGAATTTTTCAAGAAATGTTTTTTTAATTATTTAAGTATATCTGTATATCTTATTATCACACTTGTCATCAGGAGGAATAAGTGCTTATTTTAATAAAAAAGATTTGAAAGGAAATTCACATGCTGATATTGAGTATATATAGTGAACTGTTAATGTGTATGACTTTGCAGAAAAATGGATGCATCAAATCAAGATCCAAGAAATCCTCCTCAAGGACCTAGTCGCCCCCAGTTTCGGAGGGTCAGATCAGCTGAATTTAGAAGACCTTCCCATAACTTTTTACAGGTATGGAGGATTATTATTGAAATTACAAAGGATTCAATTCATTTTTGTCTAATTATATAGATTTTTTAATATAGCAATTTGACAGCATCAAATTTGAGTACTTTTGAGTCCAATTGGAGTATTTCTTCCACAGACATTTTTTGCATTGACACAAACTCAGCCAAAAAATCTACCCCATTTTATCCCTAAATATAATGTCTTTTAACTACTCCACAGATTTCAAAAGGAAAGGTAGGTAAGTTGATTTTTAATTGTAATTAATACGCAGAGAGTTAGTTAATTTTAATAATCTTTTCAAAAAATAATTTTATGATTAAAATTTAATGTGTAAAGATAAAAACCAATAAATAAGGATATTATGGGAATGAAAATTTAAGAGTTAATACAATTTTTGGTCATTCAAGTTTGCTCTCATTTTGGTTTGTGTCTCTTAAATTTTTACCTTAGGTTTTTATCCCTCAAGTTTCTTTTTATTTAAAACATTGGTCATTGTTATTCCACAAAAATCTTGACTATTTTGTCCCTTGAAGGACTAAAACTTCTGGTTTAAAACTTGAGGGACTAAAACCAAAATGAAGACAAACTTGAAGAATAAAAAATTATATTAAACCAAAATTTAATAAAGGAGATTAGGTGGAATGAGTCCTAACAAAACAAAAACTATCGAATGGATACATTTGGAATTTGAGGGAGCGCGCGCGTATATGTTTGTATCGGTACGTATTATAGAAGCATCTACATGTTCCCCCTAGGGGTGTTCAATTTGTCCCGTCCCGGTCGTCCCATCCCGGTTCCGGTGAGTTCGGGACGGGACGGGACGGGACAAAAAAAATTTCGGGATGGGACAAGTACGGGACGGGACGGGACAGTGACCGGGACGGGACAGTGACGGGACGGGACGGGACGCAGGACGGGATTGTCCCGTCCCGTCCCGTCCCGGGATATTTTTTTTTAAAAAAATTATTTATTAATAATTATTATTAAATTATTCAATTTACTTATTAATAATAATTATTATTTTTATAGTGATTTTTAACTCTTAAGTTGTAAAATTATCTGAACAATATCTCCTTCCTCAATAAAATAATTCATAAAGCCATTATATAGTGTTTCTTTTATTGTATTTTTTTTTTACAGTATTGTTTTTACACCTTTTTTATACTATATAATTGAGCTTTCTACATAATATTTTTATAATGTTTTTATCTTTAAAAGCCTAACAAAAAATAAGCATTATAACATAAAAAAATTTCATATAAAAAATTATAGTATTTTTTTAAAAAAAAAAAAGAGGAGGGGAATCGGGACCGGGACGGTCCCGACGGGACAGGGACAAAATCGGGACGGGACGGGACGGGACACAGGACTAAAACCCTGTCCCGTCCCGGCCCGTGAACACCCCTACCCCCCTAAAAAGAGTGAACTTGCATCAACCATCCTAAAATAATTTTTTAGGGGAATCTAGTATATTAATTTATTTTGGGGTGCATCCAGCAGTTCAGCACCCTAAAGATTTTTTGGTGCAATTTTACACTTAGCATTTTAGAGTGCTATACCAAAAAATAATTTAGAATACTAGATGCACCTAAAAATATTTTAGGGTGCTAGATATATTAAAATATAATTTAGGATTAGAGCCGGAAAAACAGGTTAAGCCCGTTTATGCCTAAAAGTTACGAGGATCGGGCTTAAAATTTTTTCCCTCAAATAGGAAACAGGCCCTACAGGTCTAGCCTTGTAAGGCCGAGTGTTTAAACAGACCGGCCCGTTTAGGCCATTTTATAATTTTTTTTTTTTTAAAAAAAATTTGTGTAATTCTAATATTATTAATTTTTTTACGTTGTTAATAATATTTTAAATATTTAGTTATTATTATCATTTTAAAATTAAATTTCACATAATTGTTTGATTTATTTAGTTTTAGACAATAATTTGTCCAATTAAATTTTAAAAAATGAGTTAATTTGGACTTTAATAATGATTTAATTTATATTATATGCGTTGATATTTTTAAACTATATATATTTGATAAGAGGGTATTTTTATACTTATATAACTTGTGATTCTATAATTTGAATTAGAAATTTATGAGTTTCAATAACAATGTTTCTCAAATTAAAGTAAAATAATAGTTAGATTGCAAAATTTAAAAGTAAAATTCCTATAAAAAGAAAAACTTGATATTTTTGTTAAGAAAGAAAAGCATACTTATGAAGAAGAATAATTAATTATAGTGATGATGAAGTTTTAAAAGATTATAATAGTATTTGTTTATTGCACATTTGCACTGTAGATGAAACTTTTGGATGTTATTATCTTGTTAATAAATGTTTTAAATGTTTTTAAATGTTGATGGATATTTATATATGATGATATTTTGTATTTGTGATTTAATTTTATTCATATTTATGTCTTTTATTAATAATTTCATTAGTTTATTTTTATTTTTTGATAAAAAATATGAGAATTATAAAAAATAGTAATTTTTTTTAAACAGGCCGAAAGCCCGCCAGCCAGCCCTAAGCCTGTTAGCTTAAGGACCAGGCCTAACAAATTGGGATATTTTTTTAAATTTCAACCTTGTAAAGCTGGCCCTTTTAAGCCCACCAGCCTACAGGGCCGGATCTGTAGGGCCAAGGGCCGGTCCTGATCCCCACCTCTATTTAGGACATTGAATGTACCTAACAAAATAGTTGGAGGTACTGGATGCACTATAAAACATTTTAGAAATGCATGTAAAAAATACTTGCTGAATGCATTTTAACCAAAAATAAGATTGATAGAAAAATCATCACGATGATACCGAATATAATGAAGTGTTAATTAATGTGTATAATTTTGCAGATAATGAATGCATCAAATGGTGATATAGTGAATCCTCCTGAAGTACCCAATAACTTCCCATTACGAAGGGTGGAATCAGCCGTGTTCAAGAGACCTTCCCTTGATCTTTCACAGGATACACGTAATTAACTACTCCCTCCATTTTCTCTAATGTCATATAAAACACTAATGCGTTCAGTTATTTTTATGGTTCCTCACGATTTTCCTATAACAATAAAAAAATCAATTTAATATGCATAATCAAATATCTATCCTTTGATACTATAAGATAATGTTTAAATTATGTTCCATTTTACGTTTATCTATTCGTAAACAAGGCAACAAAATGATATAAAAACATACATATCTCATCTTTACAATCTTAATTTCTTTTTCATTATTTATATTTTCACATATACTTTAACCTTCTTGTTTGGTAGTATTTCAGCAACGTTTTGTCTACTTAGTAGTGTATTTTCATTGCAAATTTTGGGGATGAATATCTAATGAACTACTGACTGAAGAAGGGGGATTGGCAGGGGAGATGACTCCCTAATTTTTCAAATTTTTTTAATTAATATTATACGTGTTAAGCGTTTTTGTAACACACAAAAATTTTGTACTATATAGCGTTAAGATTCTCTAACACCCTCAGTTATTTAATTAGTAGTTGATACAACACCTGCAATATTTGTTTAGGCGTGTCTTCTTAAAATTTTTTGTGATTTATCCATCATTTTATAATATGTTTTTAGTTGCGTTAAATACCCTAATTTATGGGTTTAGAGTATTCATGCTAATAGACACACTTGAAAAAATATGACATTGTGTAAAATGAACTACAAAATACTTCAAAATTCAGGATAAACTTGGAAAATATTTCAACGTCATTAATGAATCATTAAATAAATGCTTTAATAAAAAAATACTTCAGAGTGTTAGATCAACCTTTACCTACTACACACAACCAATTTTATCTTAGCCTCCTTATGCGTAAATTTTGGCTCTCTATAAAAGATGATCGTTCCCATAAACAAGTCACATCCCAACAAATTAATATGAGAATTTCACAATGAAATCACTTTCGTTTCAGCTGAGGCCAGAATGATGTACTTGAAATTATGTGTGCCTCTTCACAAGTATGCATCTGAAGGCAATTGGGAAGAAGCTAAGCTCATATTAGGTCAAAATAGAATGCTTCTGAGTGCTGCCATAGCACAAGGATGGTCAACAATACTTCATGTAGCAGTAGGAGCAGGTCATTTTCACTTTGTGGAGGAGCTTGTGAACATGATGGAAGAGAACAAAATACACTTGGATTTACAAGACTCAAACGGAAACACTGCCTTCAGCTTGGCTACTATTGCAGGAAACTTGGAGATTGTTCAGTTAATGTTAGGAAAAAATTGCTTCTTACCAAAAATAAGAAGTCGAACAGGTTTCACTCCTATTCTTTTTGCTGCATTACAAGGAAGAGCTGATTTGACAAAGTATCTGTATCCTTTCACTGTTGATGAAAATTTTGAAGAAGTAGAATGGAAGAAGTTATTCCTTGCTTGCATTGACTCTGGTATTTATGGTAAGTATATATTGCCTACGGAGCACAAATACACTTAATTATTATAAGTGAAGTATAAGTAGGGCACGAATAAGTATTTAGTACAAACAAAATAAAAAAATAACATCCTTTGTGAATTATTTGAGCTTGATATGTAGCTCTATGTTTATTAAACTGTCTGACAGCTTCTAATTTTAGAATTTGAGTTTCTGTTGATAACTGCTTCATAGATTTGGCATTGCAAATGTTGAAAGAAAAAGGACAACTAGCATTTGCAACGGATGAAGATGGCATGACAGGTTTACATATCATGGCTCAGACAGCAGATTTAGGAAGTTATAGGCCAGAACATCAAATTCAACTCACAAGTTCAGGTAAATTGATTAGCATTGTAACTGCCTGTTTGGAAGACTAAAAAACTGGTCTTAACAAATGATCTATTAATATTCTACTCCCCCCTCCCTACAAATATTTATCAATATGCATCTAGTATATTGCCTAACTTCTGACCGGGCATATTCAATTTATCAAATTATATACCCTAGGTACGAAGAATGGTGTTGCCCTTGACCTTGTTCATCTCCTATGGGAAAAAATTCTCAACGGTGTAGACTCAAAGGAAAATATGAAGAAACTCATAAACGAACCATCAAGACTACTATTTGATGCAGCAAAAGTTGGAAACTTTGACTTTTTAGCTACACTTATAAAGTCTTACCCTGATTTAATGTGGCAGTTAGATGACAAAAGACAAACTATAATTCATATTGCTGTTTTATATCGTCATCCTAAAATCTTCAATCTCATCCATGATATAAGCGGAAGAAAGGATATCATGTTGTCATATAAAGACGAAAATAGTGGAAACACTATATTACATTTGGCTGCAATGTTAGCACCAGCTAATCGACTTGAATTGGTCTCTGGAGCAGCTTTCCAAATGCAGTTTGAACTATTATGGTTTGAGGTACTTTTTTATTAGTAAATATGAAATGATTTAGATGATCCCAAAAACTAGAATATTTACATGAATTAATTTATGAACAATCCCTTGATATGGCAGGAGGTGAGGAAGATAGTGTTGCCCTCATATATGAAGAAGAAAAACTCAAAGGATAAAACCCCTTGTGAGTTATTCACTGAGCAGCATGCTGCATTACGTAAAGATGCTGAATCTTGGATGAAAGGAACAGCTAAGTCATGTATGCTTGTTACAACTCTTATTGCTACCGGCGTGTTTACTGCGGCATTTAGCATACCAGGTGGTATCAAGGATGATACAGGAGTTCCAAATTATTTGGGAAAACGATCATTTACGATATTTGCAATATCAGATGCCATTGCAATGATCTCCTCTTCGGCTTCCATACTAATCTTCCTATCCATTCTCATATCACGTTATGCGGAATATGACTTTCATCATTCTTTACCCTCAAAGCTAATATTCGGATTGATAACACTCTTCATCTCCATAACAAGCATGATGATAGCATTTAGTAGTGCTTTCTTTGTGACATATGACCGTGGCTTAAAGTGGGTTCCTATCTTCATTTCAGCTCTGTCTTTTTTACCAGTAGTCATATTTTTACTTTCACAATTTGAACTTTTTTTGGATATCATTTACTCAACATTTTATTTAAGATGTCTATTCAAACCAAGCGAGCATATGCTTTACTAGTAAAATAGAGACTATTTTAATGTTCTTGTACCTAGTGTATATTTTGCTTATTACTTCAATTTGTAATCTCTCTCTCTGTATATATATTAGCCTTACTTAGATTTGGCAATGTGTAATTGTGCGTGCAGAATTTCTAAAGAAATTATTTGATATCTGTAATGACAGTAAGATACTTGGCACATTGCTTGCCACTGCCCAAAAAAACTGTCTTTACAGTTGTTACTTTGTAGGGGTTCTAAAAAACTGCTACGAAGTGCATAATTTGTAGTGGTTTTAAGTCAAATCACTACAAATTTGCAGTTTTTTTGACTAGGAAGGAGTTTGTGTATTCTTTAGTAGTGGTTTTGAGAGCAATTAGTGCCACATGGCGCCAACTGGGCATCATATTTATATTGGTCAATTTGTAGCGATCAGTTTATAACGGTTTTTTTTTGGGTAATAAGTTTATAACGGTTTTGTCAAGTAGATATACATGATTGGAGGGCTTTTAAGTAGCTTTTGGAGGTAGAAGCATGTTTGGTACTTTTACATATGTTTGGCATCACTTTTGATCAATTGGGCTTTTGAAGCCATGGCTTAAAAGCATAAGCCTATATGGAGTTGCTTTTGGCTTATTCACTGTTGGGGGGGGGGGGATATCATGATCGAAGAAGGAGAAAGGTCTTGAAGTGGGTCCTATCTTGCTTTGATGAAAAAAATAAAATTACTTCAAAAGATTCAATAATAGATGTTTATAACAATATTCAAAGAAAAAATTAAATAATAAAATTGAAGAAAAATTAAGGAAAAGTTCCCATTGGAAATTTAATTGGTGAGACCATGACTTGATAAATTTTTATATACACTAAGCATTGGTATTCTGGGAATTTCATACACACAAACTTGCTTATTATTTAATAAAAGTCATACCCAATTTGATAATTTTACACACTAAACTTCTCATTCAATCATAATCCAAACAACTGTTTTTACAAACTAACTTATTATAAAAGCTATAATCCAAACGTAAATCATATTACCTAATCTAATTTTTTCAAAAATCAAATTAAAAATAAGCTATATTTTCTACCATCAATCGGGGCCTAAAATATTTGTGAAGTTAGTCTTTTTGCATAATAATGTTTATCCTCCTCGTAGAAGGCCCATTGGGCATTTTTTATTTGATGCAATGTCATGATCAGTTTCTGTTGTGATACAAATGGCAAGGTCATTTTGATGGGTTAGAGTATGCGTAATGTGGTAATTGGGCCAGCCTAATGTCACAAACCCCAGCCAGTACAAGAAAGAAGTATCTTCTCACCTAAACTTTTTTATAATTGCCTTCCTAGCCCAAAAAAAGGTATCTTCTCAACTAAATTTTCTTTTACTTCCGAAGTCTATTATTTTTGTTGCTTCAAAGTAATCAAACAATGATACATCTTACCATCATTGCTATAAACTTCAAATAATTGATTTGCATATAACTAAAAATCAGTTAAAAGTAATTAAAAATATTTCCTCTGTCCTTTTTTATAATCAACAGCTACCATCTCCTATTTGTCTCTAAATTTAAACAATATTTGCAAGTTATCTTAAATTATTGTATCAAAATTCCTATCTAGCACTCTAAACCATCACTTCTCTCCATCACACATACTCTGTTTTTCATAATTCTCTTTATTGTAATAAATTTCTTATTCTCTTTCTTATACTTTCTCTCCTATAAATAAGGGTATTTTAGAGAAAGAACTTCTAATTTCTACTCATTTATTGTCTTTAGCCAATTTTAACTAATGTTTTGTTTTACGTGATAGAATCCAGAGTTGCTTATAAAAAGAGACGGAAGGAGGAGTAAATAGGTTAGAAATATATTTTTATTTTCATATATGCCCTAGAAGAATGATGATGAAAAAGAATGTATGACAAAATGTAAATGAGAGAGAGCATGGCAAAAGAGAGAGAATAAATAATCAAGAATAAAATTACCAAAAAAAACACATTAAATGTTAGAACAAACCTAAATTGAATGTTATAAAATGGACCACACTCCTTCTTAAATTTGAAACTTATAAATAGAATTAAAGGGAGTACTTAAGTGTTGGACCAAAATCCTGAAATTTTTTTTTAGTAGCACTCAATATTTAGCATTCTAAATTATTTTTCTAGTAGCACTCATAACTTTTTTTTTACAATTTTATTCTTAAAATATTTTTCTCAATATCAACAAGCACTCTAAACTTAGAGTATTGAATATTAATAGAAAAAATATTCCTAGGTGTTAAATGTTAACTAATCCTTTATTTCATATGGTAAAGTGTATTTTTATTACCTTAATAGTATTTAATGTTTTACTTTATTTCAAATTTTATTTTCTGTATTGTTAATTAAATTAAAATATTCTCAAAAAGGTTCTATGTGGACTGGATCACCACTAGGGTAGCATAACGAAATTATTAATTAGCCAGGACAGAGAATAAATTAGAAGATAAAAAAATTAAGGGAGAAAAGTAAACTTTTGATCAAATTAGGAAACAAAATTAGAACTAAATCAAATTAGAGGTTGAAAACAAAATCAAAGAGAAAAATTAAGTGAAAAATCGATAATATACCTTAGCCTCTCTAAGTTGTGATTTTCAGAGGGGAAAATTTCATTTAGCCCCTCTTAAGCAATTTAATTTCCAATAGACCCTATAAGATTCTAAAACATCATTTCAGTATATTTGACCAAAATGAAATTAAATGTCATAGGTAAAAATATAATTGTGCCCTTGTATTTTTTTTTTCCTTTAAAAAAACAACCTCACCAAAGCTCCGGTGGCAAGCCAATCGGAGCTCTGACATATGGCCTCCAGTGGCCATTTGTTGGAGTTCTGGTTATCAGAGATTTTTTTCTTAAAAGAAATAAGATGGCCAAGGAGGGGTTTGAACCCATAACCCCTTGACCACCTTATTTTAGAAAAACAAATTAGTGGGGCTTAACTGAAATTTTTCTTTTTATAATCCATTAAAATACAACTTATTTGGTTTAGACTTTGTGCAGTATAAAGAAAAACATATCATCTAGATTTATATACGTTGATTATTGCATTTCACAATATAAAAACTAACATGTTGATTATAGGATCCAATATCACAACATTACGTATTATTTCATTTTATCCACACTACAAACGGTACGTAGATAGATAAATCCCAAAAACGCAGGCTTTGTTTAGGAAGATGTATTAATTAAGCACTCTTATTTAAGGAAAGTCAACATATAATAAACAAAAAATATGAATTGAATAATGAAATCTGCTCCCCGCTTCCAAACATAGTATTAAAGGTCCCACCTCCACGTGAAGCGGCATGTAAATTAATTAGGATGAAGAATTAATACAATCAGAGATATTTCAATTAAGAAGAACATAGTTATGTATGTAAACAAAAATATAAGCCCTAACTGTAAAAATAGAAAACAAAAGAAGGAAGAGGATTTTCTATTACCAGTAGTAATCATTCTCAAATGTTCCCTTGCTTTTTGGATGGTTTAGTTCGACCATAACCAATACTTTTTCCAACAGTATTAGTTCCATTGGAAATCAAAATACTACATCCAATTCTTAATATAAGAGTTAGTTGACTAATTTGAATAAATTAAGAAAGTTTGTTAAATTAGTTATCAGGTGTTATCTCTTCCAGAATACTTTTGTTCATCATATGTATTAGTTATAACTATCATTTGATGGAACCTTTAACATGTACAATTACTAGAAGGACTACTTTGAAAAAATAGATAAATATAATAGATAAAGTGAATCGAGATCTTATATTTAGAACCAAGTTAAAAGTCAAACTAACTCTTATATTAAGGACCATAGGTAGTATTTGAAGAAACTTGTGAAGAACTCTCCAGAATCCATATGCTGCCATGCACCAAGTAGCCACCAACAACACTAATATTACCTTTGATATTTAATATAAGAGCTATTTTGAGAGTTAGATTTGGTCCTAATTAAATACAAGACTTCAGTTAACTTTTTCTCCCGTTTTTCTCAAAATATCCAATTCCAATACACATGATTAAATAGGGTAATTAGAGAGGTCAATACACATTTGAGACAAGTTCCTTAATATTTTCAAATTATTTATTTAACTCTTATATATATATATATATATATTAAGGATCGGAGGTAGTGTATACACACTTGGGATCTACATTCTTGTGTTTGTGTTTTTGCCTTCAAGATTAACGTATTTATACACAGAAGCTAGCATATAGGCTCTCTACTGTAATGAAAGTGCATAAAGATTTCATGGAAAAGCAGATGAAAGTCTTCTGAAAAATTCATCCCACTTTCTGTTAAATTGTATTGAAGTTTTCTACAATTTTCATAAATAATTAAGATTGCTTACGGTATTTGTTTTGCTCGGCTGGTCGTTTGTTTTGTTTTGTGTAAATTTACATACAGACTATTCATTATATGAACACACATGCTTGTAGTTCAAGTAAGAGTATGTGAGAAAATTCTCATGATCTACATGAAGGAGGTTATTAATTAATTTGAAGTTTAATTTATATTTTTTCTATTAAAGTTACTAGTTTTGGGTTTGGTTCTGAATTAAAGGAATATTTTTTCTAAAGCATCAGGAAATTAAAGAAATTTCACTACAAATGAGAGAAAACGTTACCTATTGAGGAGAAGTTTCAAGATTTCAGATTATAATTACTGTGTAATTGGAGTTTGAATAAATCATTCACGAAATTTGACTTGAAAATCCTTTCCAATGTCTCGTAAATTGTCATATTGAAGCTTTTATTTTCCTTTTCGAAATTTAAATAAGGAGTTAGCTTATTGAGCTGTTCTATCAAAAAATAGTACTAATGCGGCAAAACTAGAATGAAGGCAAGAAATAAAGATAGAATATTTGAAATTTCGTACAGTTATATTTATATTTATAATTCTATCAACGTTTACGTGGTTTATTAAATTATTTAAAATTTTCTCTATTCCTTCTTTTTTCCCATCTAATTAGGCCTTGTAATTCCGTATTACTGACCTGCTTTCCAATTAAACATTTTTGAAAATATAACTTTTTTTTTTCCTTTTAAACTAGTCAATTATTTTGAGATACATTTTTCACAAAATAAATTAATATAATCATTATTAACTTTATACCCAACCAGAGCTAGCCCTAGGTGGCCTTTCCATGACTTTGTCAATCAGCCAGGTTCTCTAAATAATGCTATGTCTTACATTAAATTTTATTTATTTATTTACGTGAATTGCATCAGATCCTGGAGGTAGCAACAGAAACCCCTTATCTAACTATTAGGCTAAAGTATACATTTGGTCCTTCAACCCTAAAATCATTAGGCTTCAATGACATTTTTTGCAACAATCATGGATGTTTTGAAAATTAAACTTAATATGTTAGCATTTGAAAA